TTGGACTTGATTTACTCTGTAATTATTGAACATTTTACTTTGATATACCAGAAGTGGAGAGACGTTATCTCTTCGTGAGTAATAAACTCTTGGCAGGCAGCCACTAGATTGCTGCCAAGTTCCGTTATCATAAGGAAAAGGATTTTGTTGGCTGGTTTGGTTTTTAACTCTTGGACGTCTGTTGGTGTGTGTGCATGTGGGACGGGGACAGAACAATTGTAGGTCTCCGTGGGCAACCCCCTGCTAGCCAAAATGAGGCACAAGGGGTGGGGGGGGGGAGAAAATCTGCCCCATTTTCAGCCTGAATAGCCTCCTGCAGCACTTTACCAACCAGAACAGGGCATGGGGTGGGCGGCGCGTGGCCCCCAGCACTTCATTTTCCCTCTCCATGGCTTCCATCAGCACTCTGCTGGCCAAAAATGGGCTACAGGAAGGCCTCCTGAGGCCCCCGCGCAGCCCGTTTAAGCCTCTGCACCAGGGGTGAAATCCAGCAGGTTCTGGAGAACCGGTAGTGGAAATTTTGAGTAGTTTGGAGAACCAGCAAATACCACCTCTGGCTGGCCCCAGAGTGGGGTGGGAATGGAGATTTTGCAATATCCTTCCCCCCCAGGAGAGGGGAGGGAATGGGGATTTTGCAGCATCCTTCCCCTGTCATGCTCACCAAGCCACACCCACAGAATCAGTAGTAAAAAAAAAATGTGGATTTCACCACTGCTCTCCACGGCCCATTTTTGGCCAGCAGAGTGCTGCAGGAGGCCAAAAATGGACCGCAGGGCCCCCACACGCAGCCCGTTTTGGCCAGCAGCCCAGCCCCACTGGCCAGATTTAAGCATCCCATGGACCGCATCCAGCCCGCAGGTCTCAAGTGTGACACCCCTGCTCTAAAACGATGCAAATGACCAGGCATATAAATCCTTCCATTCCCCACCACCTGGTCAGAGCTGAGGAAGCTTCCTGGATGAGAAGCGAAACGTCTTCAAAGAAAAAAAACCAGAAAGTCCAGTTGCCTCTTGAAAAAAAAGCACCTTTGGGGTAATTCTTAAATGTTGGAACGGTTTCTAGCATGGGATAAGTCGGTTACACAGAAGGTAGATGTAATTCCATTCGGGGGGGAAAAATCACCTTTTCCACATCAGCGTTGTCAGGCTCGCTGTATTAGCTGTGGAATCTTTGGCGTGCAAAACATTTCATTTTTCATTACCGATGCCGGTGTTCACATTTTCCATTATTTAGAAGCTTTCTTGAAAAATTCATGCCGTGTTGGTACCCTGAGACATCCCGCAGGTCGCTGTGTTGCAGGAAACACAGTTTCGTGTCTTGGTTTCCTGCTGGCAACTGGCACTTCATTGCGGTCCCTAAAGAAAAATCGTTCCCGCGAAATCCCTCGCGTTCCTTCAAAGTTGAGTGATGCATACTCTTTATCTTCAGAACCGGCGATGAATTATTCAATATTGAGGGTGTTGGTGTGTGCACAATGATCGTCATCTTCTTGTTTGTAAAATACGGTTTGTCGCCCTGCTCCTGGACCAGGTTTAATTATAGAATGCAAATGGGGCGTGTGATGTTTTAAAAAGAAAACGGTACAGGAGATCTTGGGATGTTTTTTTTTTTTTCTTCAATAGAAGAAAATATTTGTAGCTCAGGATTGAATTGTGGGGTCCTTGGTGCTCTCTGAGGTTGGTGGCTTTCTTGCAGACATTTCATTACCATACTAGGTAACATCATCAGTGCTAGAAGAGAGTGGGGTGTGATGAGGAGGACGACTGTGGAGTTCTTGGTGCTCTCTGAGCTTGGTGGTTTTCTTGCAGACATTTCATTAGCAAACTAGGTAACATCATCAGTGCTAGTAGGATGTGTGGAGGTACTTATCGGGTTCTTAGGAGCCAAGGGCTTGGCATCACAAGGAAAGAACAGCCAATCGCTGGCCATCAACACACCAATCAACCAATAGGAAGGCACCACATACATTTGAAGCATAGAATAGCCCAAAACACACATTCTGATAGAGAGAAGTTCCCTGAAGATGGATCCCACCCTTAGTCCGAAAGCTGGAAAGACTCAAGTTCTGGTCCCAATAACCGACCCAGGATGGATCTTGAATAAGTTTCTTCCCCGGAACTTTGCCTAGGCATACATCCAAAATTGAGTAAGCCAAGAACTTAACAAAGGCATTTGGGGTGATACAGGCTCTGGAAATGTTTGAAAAGTGGCCGTTTTGGATGCACGAAACCAGTTTAATGGTTCATTGGCAATATCCCCTGCCTTTCAAGGTTATCCAATGAATGGATGGGCAACCTTTAACGGATGCCAGGTAGTAAGCGAAAATAAGATTGGTCCGTGCTAATTCCTTTCCTTACACTATGTTGTAATGTATCGATGGAGCGATAGGGAAAAAAAAATATATCACGCTGCCAAGAAGTACATTTGCTCACGATAAAAATCAAGATTCCTTGTTTTTCTTCCTTTCTTGTGAATAAACAGCGTATTGGCTCACGTGGAATATTTATTCCTTCCAATGAAAAATTAATTGTGGCATCTCAGCTTGTGTTCCGTGGAAGTCGTGATCGAAAAAGGAGCAGCGAGCTGTTTGTTTGGAAAGCCGCACTAAGATCTCAAGATCTTCTATCCGAAATCATTCATTTAGTCGGCGCAGTTAGGAAGTGGACTTAAGGGGTGCTTTTTCCTCAGATGTGTGTCTGGTAAATATGGGTTGGATCCGGGTTTAGTCATAACAGCTGTTGTGGTCCGCCAGCAGCCTGCGGAGCTGGCAGCAGAGTCGGACAGTGAGGAGGCTGGGAAGGAACATGGGCCAGTCCTGGAGTCTGGGGAAGGTCCGGCGAGGGCTCTGTGTCGGAGGCAGAGATGGGGCCAGGGCCATCTGGGAGTGATGCGTGGATTCCGGAGCCCCCAGAGTCGGACAGCAGAGAGGCAGAGGAACCGGAGGAGCCTGTTCCTAGTGCATGCATGTGCAGAGCTGCCAGAAGGCAAGAGCAGCTAAAGCAAAAGGGATGACTCGGGAGTAAAGCTAGGAGATGATTGGCCCCTCTCATAAGGCTTAAAAGAGAAACAACGGCACTTGGGCCTTTTTACAGGAAAGCAACATTGCTAACTCTGTTTCCAGTCGGCATCTCTTGTTTGTTTCAGAACTTCGTGGGGCTTTGCCAAGTAAGGCCTTTGGCAAGGTGTCAAAGAAGATAAAGGTTGGTGATTATCCCGAAGGACATCTTCCGAAGGACTTGTTTTGCTACTAGTTGGGACTCAGCTGGGAATGAACGTAATTCTCAGCTGTTACAATAAAATAGGTTTGTTTGGGACTAATTGTGTCTTGTAATGACTCAGTAAGCCTCGGTCACAACAACAGCATGGATATATTGATATATGTAGCTAAGTCTATAAGATTTATAAATATATTGAAATTCGTGGGATTTACGCATCCAATCCACTGCATGTATAGAGCTTGTTAGAATTTAGCAACCATGCTCCCACTTGTTTTATGTACTGTGTATATATAAGAGACAGTTTGGTCTAGTGGTTAAGACACCAGGCTACAAAGTGGGAGACCGTCAGCTCTAGCCCTGCTTTAGGCATGAAAGCCAGCAGGGAGACCTTGGGCCAGTCACCAGGAGATGGGGAGTTCTAGTTGTGCCTTAGGTATGAAAGCTGGCTGGATGACCTTGGGCCAGGAGACAGGAGGAACAGAACAGAACAGAACAGAACAGAACAGAACAGAACAGAACAGAACAGAACAGAACAGAACAGAACAGAACAGAATAGAATAGAATAGAATAACAGAAGGGACCTTGGAGGTCTTCTAGTCCAACCCCCTGCTCAGGCAGGAAACTCTATACCTGTGATGGCGAACCTATGGCACGCGTGCCACAGGTGACACGCAGAGCCCTCTCTGCGGGCACGCCAGCCCTAGCCCAGCTCCACCGCGCATGCCCATGCGCCTCCTGCCAGCCAGCTGGTCTTCAGGTCTCTGCCGTGCATGCATTGGGGGGCATGCACTCCCCTGCACCACGTTTTGGGCCTAGAAGGCCTCCTGCACCAACCTGGAAGCCAAAAATGGGTGAGGGGGGGCCAGGGCACATGCACGGGGGGCCAGGGTACACAGGGAGGGTCGCGCGGGCATTGCAATGCGGGCGCGTGGGCGAGCTCTCGGCAGGCAATGACAAAAAGATTAGCCATCACTGCCCTATACCATTTCTAGTTCTAGTTCCGCCTTAGCCATGAAAGCCGGCATGGTGTCCTGTCACCAGGAGTCAGTGAGTTCTAGTTCTGCCTTAGGCATGAAAGCCGACTGGGTGATCTTGCGGGCAATCGCTTTCTCTCTGCCCAACCCACTGTCCATTGTTTCTTGTCCTGTCCTCTGGTGTTTTGGAGAGTAATTTGACCCCCTCTTCTTTGTGGCAGCCCCTCAAATACTGGAAGTCTGCTATCATCTCACCCCTAAATTCTTCTTTTCTTTAGATTAGCCAAACCCAAATCCTGCAACCGTCCTTCATATGTTTTAGTCTCCAGGCCTTTGATCATCTTAGTTGATCTTCTCTGAACTTTTTCCAAAGTTTCAACCTTTTTTTTTTTTTTTGGTAGCATGGTGACCAAAATTAGTTGCAGTATTCCAGGTGTGGCCTTACTAATGTTTTATAAAGTGGTACTAATACTTCACGTGATCTTGATTCTATGCCTCTGTTTATACAATCCAGGATTGTATAATCCTGGATTGTATAAACAGAGATTGTATAAACATTTTTGGCGGCTGCTGCATACTCCTGGCTCATATTCAAGTGATCGTCCACTTTTTAAAAATCATGTGACCACAGAGATGCTGCCATGGTCATAAGTGTGAAAAACGGTCATAGATAGCTTTTTTTTTCAGTGCCGGTGTAACTTTGAACCTTTCACTAAAGGAATGGTTGTAAGTCGAGGACTGCCTGTATCCCTTTCTTTTCTTGTTTGGTTTATAATCCCGTGGTTTTCTTTTTGGATCCTCTGTGGAGATGCTAGATAAACTGAAGGATCGCTGGCTGCACACGAGCTTGTGGGAGAAGCTTGAGCTGATTAAAATAGTCATCGTGGAACCCAAAGGAGGCGACAAAGCTGATTTTGATGAGCTGCTTCAAATATACTCCGATGCCATCAAGTCTCAAAATGGCAAAGGTAAGTAAAAAAATGCAGAAAGTGTAAGCCTTGGTCCGGATAAAGGTTGACTGGAACAAGATTCCACAATATTAAAGGTGATCCTCAACTTACGATTAGAACCGAAATCTCCGTTACTATGCAAGTTGCACCTGATTTTACAACCTTTTTGCCAGAGTTGTTGAGTGGATCACCGTTGTTGTTAAGTAAAGCACATGGTAGGTGAGGTGAGGTGATAAGGTAAGATAACCTTTATTGTCACTTTCTACTGTGAGCACACTGGCACACATTAAAAATGAAATTCTGTTGCCTGCTCTCAAAAGAAAGTATATATCAATCCATACAAGTGCATAACATCCATATACACATGCTATAGGACTAGCATTATTAGCACTTAGACTGATATACCACTTCACAAGGCTTTGCAGCCCTCTCTAAGCGGTTTACAGAGTCAGCCTATGGCCCCCAACAATCTGGGTCCTCAGTTTACTGACCTCAGAAGGACGGAAGGCTGAGTCAACCTTGAGCCGGTGAGAATCGAACTGTTGAACTGCTGGCAGTCAGCAGAAGTAGCCTGCAGTACTGCATCCTAACCACTGTGACACCATATACATACGTACACACACATACACACACATGCATTATGTTATATTTATATTTATTATATTAACATTTCTACACACATACACACACACATACATATATGAAATCACTGTACATTTGAATACATAGCAGAAAGGAAACTTGAGAGTTCACAAGATTGATGCTATACGGAACAAAAGAAAACTGTGAATGAATCTGGATCGGGGTGGGCTTCAAAAATTTTAGCAAGGGGTTCTCTGCCTGGTTGCTGGGTGGGTGTGCCCATGGTGGGCGTGGCCTAGTCAGCCTCCTGCACCACGGCGGGGGGTGGGGGCGGCGTTTTTGCCCTACCCGGGCTCCGGAGGCTTTCTTCGAGCCTCTGGGAGGGCGAAAAGAGCCTCCTCAAGCTGTGGAGGCCGGAAACGGGCCTGTTTACAGCCTTCCTGAACTTTATCACCCTCCCCGAGTCTCCGCACGCGCCCTGCACTTACTTTACATCCAAAATGAGCCACGTCGGGACTCCTGGGAGGGGCAGAGCGGGGTGAGCGGGGCCAATCAGGAGTGGGATTTGGGGGTTCTCCGAACTGCACAGAATCTTAGCTAGAGGTCCTCCCGAAGCCCCCAACAGGCCACCCCTGATCTGGATGTTCTGCTTCGGATACCAACAAAGCCCCCTCCCAGAAAGTAGCAAGGAGAATCGGTCGTCAAGAGGATGTGTAGGGTCCCAGACAATCCCGCGGACCCTGTGCAAGCATCGCTTACGTGTCCTGTCTTGGATAGAAAGGAAGTGAACTGCCAGTGGTCTTTTCTGCTGTCCTCACCACTCTCTGCCGAAGCAGGAAGGCTTGCAAAAGCAGCGTCAGCTTCCCCCATTTACTTTGCTTGTCAAAAGACCCGTGGGAAACTCGCAAATGGTGATCGCGAGACCCTGGGACAGTGCAACAGTCATAAATACGCGCCAGTTGCCAAGCGTCTGGAATTTTGATCACGTGACCGTGGGGGACACTGCCCCGTTCTTAAGTGTGAACGGTCATAGGTCACTTTTTTCACTGCCGTTGTGACTTCAAAGGGTCACTAAAGGGAGTGGTTGTAAATCGAGGACTACCTGGATGATGTTAGACGGCTGTGTTCTTTTGCTTCAGATGGAGCGCTGCTTATTGCTGTGTGCAGAGGCAAAGTCAGTGAAGGCCTGGATTTCTCCGATGACAACGCCCGGGCGGTTCTCACCATTGGAATCCCGTTTCCAAACTTGAAGGACCTTCAGGTAGGTTAAAGGACCTTAAAATCCCTTGTGGTGTTCAGGTACTGTAGTCCTCAACTTATGACCACAATGGAGCTCAAAATTTATGTTGCTAAGCGAGACATTTGTTCAGCGACTTTCGCCCCGTTTTCAAAGTTCACAGTGGCCTGGCCTAAATCTTCTTCCCTTTTTAAATGAAAATTTTAATTTGTTTTAAATTATGGGGTATTTTAAATTTGTTCAGCCGAATTATTTAATTCGTTTTTATTCTATTTTAAATTTTTGTATTTATGTGTTTTACTCTGTGGCTGTTCACCGCCCTGAGTCCTTCGGGAGTAGGGCGGTATAGAAATTTAATAAAAGTAAAAGAAAGAAAGTTATTCAACGAGCTGCTGGAAACTTAGGTACTTCCTGCAAGACACCTGTGACCTCATTCTGTATGAAGGGGGAATAAGATGTTTAGCTTCTTTTAACAGAGCAACAGGTGGCTATAAATAATATAACCAATCAACGCTGATATGCTATATTTCCACGTTTTGCTGCTTTTGATAAGTATATAAGTGCTTGTTGTTCCGTAAGAGGGGGGGTCAGATGTTGCTACGGCTTTATTGCTCTGAACCTTTTGTGCAAATAAATACAACTCCTTTTGATTCCGAGGTCTGAGTCCCATTATTCCTGCAACAACACGAGTCCAGGATACCGCAGCCGTCACAAATACGTGCCAGTTGCCAAGCGCTCAAATTTTCATCATGTGACCTGCACTTAAAATAGTCTTTTATGATCTAAATCTGCACCATCCTTGCTGATTTTGTAAAGATTGGAATCGCGGATAGATCTTTAAAGGATGTTGCCAGCCAGGGGTGCTGGAAACTGCCTGCCATTTTACTAGAATAGACTATCTTTGCAAGAAAGTAGAATAACAGAATTGGAAGGGACCTTGGAGGTCTTCTAGTCCAACCCCCTGCTGAAGCAGGAGAACTTATATAATCTCAGACCAGTGACTGTGCAGTCTCTTCTTAAAAACCTCCAGTGATGAAGCACCCACAATTATCTGGTGGCAAGCTGTTCCACTGGTTAATTGTCCTCGCTGTTAGGAAGTTCCTCATCAGTTCTAGTTTGGATCTCTCTTTAGTGATCTTCCTCCCGTTACTTCTTCTCCTGAGGTGCTTTGGGGAATAGGTTGTCCCCCTCTTCTCTGTGACAGAACCTTAGATATTGGCATGCTATCATATCACCCCTAGTCCTTCCTTTCGCTAGATTGGACATATTTAATTCCTGCAACCGTTCTTTGTATATTTTCGTCTCCAGTCCCCTAATCATCATGGTTGCTCCTCTCTGCATTCTTTCTAGAGAAGGGCTGTCAAACTCAGTTTCATTGAGGGCTGCATCAGGGTTGTGTTTGACCTTGGGGGCCCGGGGTGTGTGGCCAGGATGGGCAACGTTACTCATCGAGGCTCCATTTTTGGCTGAGACAGCCTCCAGCCCTCTGCCAGCAAAAACGGAGCTCGGGGATACCACGCGAGGTCTGCCCAGGCTCCTGTCAAAATTCTGATGCTGCCATAAAAAGGAGGAGACGAGGCTTGACTTTTCACCTACTTATTTTCTCTGTAGATAATATCCCCTAGGAGATGGGATGGGAGGGGGGACATTCCTGTGGGATGAGGTCAGAAGCTGGGGAGACTGACTTGGAAGATGGCCAATGAGAAGATAAGAATTGAGGAACGGAAAGGGAAGGGTTTGGGGGTCAGAGGGTTAGTATCGGCTACGACAAAGCCGGGGCCAGATCTGTCGTACTCACTAAATGGAATATTTCAGCAAAGATTAATTGTTTGGGAGTGCAATTTATTTGAGATGACATCAAAACCTGACAGCTCCATTTTTGGCCCTGACGGGCTCCCGCAGTGCCTCTGCCAGCGAAAACGGAACTGCACCCTCCCCGGGCTCCACTTTGACTGGCAGAGGGCTGCAGGAGGCTGTCACTGCCAAAAATGGAGCCCAGGCGGGCCTCACACAGCCCTCCTGAGCTCTGTTTTCGCTGGCAGAAGCACCACGGGCCGGTGCATCGCTGTTTCCAGGGTGGGCCTGTGGACCAGATCTAAGCACCCCGCAGGCCAGATCTGGCCCCCGGGCCTTGAGTTTGACACCCCTGTTCTAGAGTCTTAAATATTTGAAGATTGCTATCATGTCAACCCGTCCTTTTCATTAAACGAGACATACCCAATTCCTACAACCATCATTCTTCATATGTTTTAGCCTCCAGTGCCCTCATCATCTTGGTTGCCTCTTCTCTGCACTCTTTCTTGAGTGTCAAGTATTTTAAGATTTCTATTATGTTACCCTCCTGGTCCTTCTTTACATTAAACTAGACATACCCAGTTCCTGCAACCATTCCTCATATGTTTTAGCCTCCAGTCCCCTAATCATCATTGTTGCTCTTCTCTGCACTCTTTCTAGAGCAGTGATGGCTAACCTTTTTGCCATCGCGTGCCAAAAGCGGGGGAGTGTGGGGCAGTCACGCGTGTACGTGCCCACACCCATAATTCAATGCACCCCACCACCCTCCGTGCATGACCCCCCCCTGCTCTCCCCCTGCTTTTGGCACTTGATGGCACGATGGGCCCAGTAGGCCCGTTTTTCGCCCTCTCCAGGCTCCAGAGGCTTTCTTGGAGCCTGGGGAGGCCGAAAACAGCCTGTTTTCCAACTTCCGGTGGGCCCAGAAGGCCCGAAAACCATGTGTGCCGGAGCTGAGCTAGGGCAATGCTCGCGTGCCCACTGATATGGCTCTGCACGCCACCTGTGGCACGCGTGCCATAGGTTCGCCATCACGGTTTTAGAGTCTCCACATCTTTTTTATATCGTGGCCAAAATCCTATCACCTATCACTTCTACATCCAGATTCTTTTACTAAAGAATCTGATCTCCTGGTTATTGCCTGGATCCGTAAAGACCTTTCCTCCTAAATAGGCCTATTTAGATAAAATAGGGAGCCTTGTGGCGCAGCAGACTAGTAGCCTGTTATTAACATTCAGCTGCCTGCAATTACTGCAAGTTCGAATCTCTCCAAGGCTCAAGGTTGACTCAGCCTTCCATCCTTTCTAAGGTAGGTGAAATGAGGACCCAGTTTGTGGGGGCAATAAGCTGACTTTGTATAAAATATACAAAAGAATGAAGGCTATTGCTTAGCGCATTGTAAGCCGCCCTGAGTCTCCGGAGAAGGGCGGCATATAAATCAAATTAAAATAATAATAATAATAAATATTCGTGCAAGGAAGAAACTTCTCCTTTTACCTTGGGGAAGATTACTTTTCGGATTGCAGAGGAAGGGGAGGAAACTCCAAAACGATGTGTGTGCGTTTTTTCCCCTGTATTCAGCTTGTCCTTAACAAGCAGCACTGACCTTTACTTTACTGTCAAAGTATGTTGAAGGCTTGAAAAGCAAAGTTATCACCAGGGGGACTTGGAAGGACGGCTGACACTTACCACTTCACCTTAGACGCTGTTCCAGAGACGCTGTTCCAGATGCACATTGTTCCTCTGGGGGGTGCCGTTTTATTTATTTTTATTCTTCTTCTTCTCCTCCTCCTCCTCCTCCTCCTCCACTTCTGGTTCAGTGGAAGTAAATTTACTCTGCAGAGGAGAGTTTGGCTTGCATCTGATTTTAATCGAGTGACTTGTTTGCAGCCCTTTGAAGTGTCCCAGATCCTGATGATGAATGGTTGGGAACTGAGGAGAGGTTGTGGATGTGCTCTGTGTTACAACTTCGGTTGCGGAGGCCTCCGTGTGCCATAGTTTGAGAACCCTGGAAAGGGCTCTCTTGCTTGTAATGGTATGTTACACCTGTTTCCTTTGCCACTTGGATGAAGGATGCAGGAGGAGAATTGAGAATTGAGCCTTTAAACTCTGTGGTGGGTGGGTGGATGGATGGGATAGATAGATAGATAGATAGATAGATAGATAGATAGATAGATAGATAGATAGTAGATAGGATAGATAGATAGATAGATAGATAGGGGATCCTTGGTGCTCTCTGAGCGGGCTTGTTTTCTTGCAGATGTTTCATTACCCTAACTGGGTAACATCATCGGTGCTAGTGATGGATGGATGGATGGATGGATAGATTGGATGGATGGATGGATGGATGCAGAGGTGGTATTCAGCAGGTTCTGACCAGTTCTGGAGAACTGGTAGCGGAAATTTTGAGTAGTTCGGAGAACTGGTAAATACCAGCTCTGACTGGCCCCGCCCCCATCTATTCTCTGCCTCCCGGGTCCCAGCTGATTGGGAGGGAATGGAGATTTTGCAGTATCCTTCCCCTGCCACGCCCACCAAGCCATGCCATGCCCACCAAGCCGCAGCCACAGAACTGGTAGTAAAAATTTTTGAATCCCACCACTGGATGGATGGATGGATAGATAGATAGATAGGTAGATAGCACTTAGACTTATATACTGCTTCACAGTGCTTTACAACCTTCTTTAAGCAATTTACAGAGTAAGCACATTGCCGCCCAAAATTTGGGTCCTCAGTTTACCGATCTCGGAAAGATGGAAGGCTGAGTCAACCTTGAACCTTGGATCGAACTCCTGGAATGAGCAGTGAGTAGCCTGCAGCACTGCATTCTAATCACTGTGCCACCATGGCTCTGTAGATAGATAGACAGACAGATGGATGGATGGATGTGGGGGAGGACAGACAGACAGATAGATAGTCATTAAAACCTCAACTCCTATCAAATGGATAGATGGATGGATGGATGGGATGGGATGTGTAGGGTAGGGGGTCCCCAACCCCCAGTCATCAGTCATCAAGTCCAACCCCTGCGCACTGCAGGATGTTCTCTCCAAAAAACTTTGATAAAGTGGGGCAGGGATGAAGGAGATTCTTCAGTGTGCTTAGGTAAAAAGTTTTAAGAGCCTTAACTAGTGCTGAAACGAAAGGTAGAGGCATGAATTCTTTGAAATGAACAACAGCAAGAATTATAATCCAAGCATCGTTGGATCAAATCGATAAATGCCATTTACCTT